CGCCCGCCCTCGCCGGCCGCTCCCGCCCCTCCCGGCGAGCACGTGGTGCCCCGCGCCGGCCCGGCCACCTCCTCCGCGGAGAGCGCGCGGCCCGGCGGCTCCTTCCCGACCGGCCCCCGCGGCTTTGGACAGCCTGTCGACGCAGGTTTACGGCCGTCCGACACCCGGTTCGCATCCGAGGTGTGTCTGCTTTTTAACAAGCACAACTCCGGGGCTGCATTTCTGCGGCGGGGACGGTGTGGAAAGGGCAGGCGGGCGGCGGGGTGACAGCTGCTGGCCAGCAGCCTCTCCTCCGTGCCGGGCGCAGGCACGCCTTCCCGGGACGTGTTGTCGGAAGGGCGAGGCTAATTCCGGGTGGAGGGACAACTCGGACGCAGGGCGTGGGGTCCCGCCGCCCCTAAAGAGTGTTCACAGATCGCCCGGCAGAGTGTGGCCGGGAAGCGGCATGAGGCCGCGAAGTGTGGGCTTTTCCAGTGGTGAAAACTTTGAGAAAGGGCAAATCGGCGCAGTCACTGCCGAGCGGTGGGAGAAGAGGGGCCAGCCTGGAGGGATGGTGGGGGGAGGGAGGGGCCTTTTCCACGGTGGAAGGACGAATGCATCTAGACTGCAGCCCTCTCCCACCCCTCTTCCGGCGATGGGGAAGCCTGGGTGGCCTGGGCGCCTTTGATTGTCCACTAGGAGCAGAGATCTGAGCGAGCGAACTTGTGCGGAGCTCATGTACCTGAGGCGGCGCTGCCAGCTTCGGGATAGGACAGGACAGCCACCAGGCCTAGCCCTGGCTCCGGTTTTTTTCTGTGCCCGACTCCTGGCATGGGTTGCAGGCGCTGGAGAAGAGCTGAGTGTAAGAGGCCTTGCGGTGGCTCTTGATGGCCTTGGGCCTGGCCATTGGCTCTCCAGAGCAGACTCTGCGTTCGTCCCTGGTCCAATGTCCAGCAGATGGCCTGGGCAGGTTGGCTGTGCCCTGGGTGTCCAGCTGCGTGCCTCCACATCTAGGGCCCGTTTGCAGACTCTGGTGTTGGCCTTAAGGAGGTTGAGGCCGGACCAGGAGCCCCACCCCCTCACACTGTGCCACTGGTGTCCTGGGCCTCCAGAACCCTGGACACCTGTGGAGCCCAGCTTCTTGCCTGGAGGCCCGGGCTTCTGCAGCACCCGGAAGGCCTCATTTTCCGGTCCTGAGGACAGACACTGAGCCTTACCTGTAATTAACCACAATAAGGCTGGTAATAGTAGTTACTAATTACCAGCTCGGAAATCAGGCTTAGTTTCTCTGTTCTGAGTCAGGCTTTCTTTCCTGTTCATGTCACCCCCCCCCCCATCCATCTCTGCACACGATATACCCCTCCAAGGGAAATCAAGGCTCCCTCCTTTCCTGCATTGACTTAGGTTCTAGGGGACCAGGAAGGATCACCGGGAGCTCTGGTGCTCAAAGCTCCTAAACTGGGGCTTCCTGGCTTCCAGCTCATCAGTCACCTTCAAACCAGAAGCAGATCTAGGAATTCCATCCACCTCTTCTGTTTACTCCAAACAAACCCTGTGCTGCAGGTGAGCTGGGATGTAAGAAAGCCCAGGGTTCAGGCTCAGTGACTCCAGAGTCACCTTCCAGGTGACAGGTAAAGACAAGGGAGACAAGTCCTGGGGTGTAAGAAGAGACCACAAGCCCCCAGGGAAGAGATGGGAAGTCTGGAAAGGCTATTCTCCAGGTCAGGATTCAGACACAAGGTCCTTAGCTTTCTGCTCACCCCTCACAACTGTGACCCACTCACAGGTCTTGAACCACCTGCCTTCAATCTATTAGACACCATGGGAAGTGGCTTGGAAAGGAACGGGGTGCTCGGCCCTGTCCCTCAGCCATCCCACAAATGTTCTCTCTGTGCTCTGTGTGGGTCACCTCCACCAGAGGCAGGAAATGAGTGTGGACCGGACCTTGGAAGAGCGAGAATTCAGGAAGACCTGGCTGTCTGGGCCTGTTTCAAATGTACCTGCAGTGCCAAGAAATGGGCCTCAGCTAGGAGGTGGACTTTACCCCAGGGACCCTGGGAGGAGTGAGGCAGTTTGTGGTCCATTCTCTGCCCTGGACCAGGGCTGGAGCTGCAAAAGCACCGCTGGGCTCAGAACCACTCCGGAAAGTGCTATCAGAGACCTTGGGTTTTCTTTCCTTTCTCCTAGGTCCCTAGCCTTGGGGAGCAGCAGAAAGGTGTGGACAGCAAATGGGAGGGGGCACGAAGGACTCAGAAAGTTTCCCCCAAATCTTCCAAGTGGAGGGGGTGCTGAGAAGGAGTGGGAAGTGCTGTCTCAGGCTGGAAAGTAGTCTCTCCCCAGGCTGTATTTAGCATAAAATTGAAAAGTAGCATGAAGGGCCGCCTTTAATCCCAGCACTACGGAGGCAGAGGCTGGCGGATCTCTGTGAGTTCAAGGCCAGCCTGGTCTACATAGTGAGTTCCAGGACAGCTGGGGCTACAGGGAGACCCTGTCAAGGCTTGGGTGGCCTTACTGTCAGCTAGGGAAGGACTCAGGTGTGGAAGCCCTTCAGGAGTCTGGTTTGAATATTGGTTTTAAGGGGTTTAAAACTTTCCCCAAAAGTCTGCATAGGTTCAAGGTGAGATTGTGCTCTCTTGTGGTCCCAGGCTGTCTGGGCACAGACTAGAAATAACCCTTCCAGGAAGGTTGTAGAGCTTCTATCTGCCTAGTCACAGACCCCGTTGACCCAGTGGGTCTCAGAGATGGCTTCCTGACCCCCTCAGCTGCTTCCTCTAACTCCAGGGGCGAGGTTTGGCTCCTGCAAAAGCTGCCTTAGCAACATAGCCAGAGGCAAAGCAAGCCCAGGGAATCCAGACCTAGGGGCCTCTGCACTGATGATCCAGAGCTGCAGCAGTGGGAGTCCTCGGTTGTCCTAAGACCCTCCCAGACTTGGGACAAACACCAAGTTTGGCAATGGCCAGGGACTGGAGCCCCTTGGTGTCCCAGGGTGGGACCCTTCCGTGGTGGGTGAACCTCTAGGGCTGCCTTTGCAGAGCGCCTTACAGGTCACAGGAGGGAAAAAAGCTGGGTGATTGGAGGGGGTAGGGGAAGACAGGATAAGGGAATGGGACTGGTCTGGTGTGTGCAGTGTTCGTTGGGACCAAGTTGATTTTTAAGTAGTTTTAGGCCTGATGGAATGGGTACCTGTTCTTTGGGGACAGTTTTTTCCTTGGGAGGGAGCTGGTTTCAATATCCTCTCCCACAGGCTCTGTGATGGAGGGTTTTCCCTGGGGCTTATTAAAGTTGAGATTAGACAACCTAGGCAGGTGCATACAATTTGATTTCTTCCAAAGACATCCTTCACTGGTTTCTAGGCTTTAACTGTATACGAATGGCCACATTCAGAAGTCATCTTTAGGGACAGCCTCTGAGATGCCTGTGGTCAGCGAGTGTGACTGGCGACCTGTTTTATTAAAATGGCCACTCCAGGCTCTATAGATGGGGCTGCAGCGCCAGGCCAAGGCAAGACCTGGGCTGGTCTGACTGGAGCCGGAGGGACCACAGCCAGGCCCTCCACCTGGGATTTCCGATCTATGAGTTTGGTTGCATCCTCTTTGCAACTCCCTCCAGCAGGTTGGGGGATAGTGAGGCAAGTACCAGCAGAGTCCACTGTCTATGGAGGGCGGAGAACCACGAAGAAGAAGCGCATAGGTGCAATCCGTGCCCCAGACCTGCATAAAGGGTGCCCCCCTGAGGCCCAGGGTCCCGCCTAAGCTCTCTAGTCCAGTCTAAACTCAGGACCCTGAGGGCGGCGAGGCGCGGAGTGCGCACCAGGTGGCCAGCCCAGTGCTGTGCAGGGCTGGAGACTGAGCCGGTGATGCCCAGGAAATCCCTGGAGGAAACTCCCCAAAGCAAAGGTTTGGTGCCCAAGACCAAAAACCCTGCCTAGCAGGCAGCATTCCTCTAAGGGAATAAGCTTCCGCCGAGGGCCTGGACCGAGAGGCCTGCGGACGCTTCCTGTAGCCCACAGAGCCAGTCCTGAAAAACGCAAGCGGGGAAGGGAGAGCAGAATGGGCTGGACCTCCCTGGGTCCGTGCAGTACTGCGGTTCCTGAGCGAGGAAGGTACTAGCGTGTGTGCGCTCACGTAAATATTTTATAAATTTCCCCTTAATTAACCAGATCACTTCTATTAAGCCTCCAATACGATCAACAGCGACGGTGTGAATGAAGGTTTTCAGGGCTTATAATTTGATGTCACTCGACGGCTGCTCAGGGGCAGAGGCGCAATCGCCGCCAGCTGCGCTTGTATTTATTTGTTTTTACGCCGCGTTCCTGTAGGGCTCCATTATGCAGTTTTTAATTAGTTTGTGTTTGTATTTCACCCGTCCCGAATCAATCCCATCCCGGAGCAAGGCCATGTAAATTCTTGCAGTACAGGTGTCGCCTCCTGTCCCCCTACACTAGCAAATGCCTGTCTGACAAATGAAACTCAGGCTACCACGCAGCCGACTGACTGTCAGCTCCTGGCAACTGAGATCGCAGATCAAAGCCAGCAGGACTTCTGAGCCCTGCAAGCGCCCAGGAGCCCAGAATGGCATCAAGGCTCAGAGTGTCATTAGAGAGAGGCTGGTGGAGCCCAGCCCTCAGAGACAAAGCACTTCATTTCCCCCAAGTGATGTGGTCATTGATGGGGCCACCACTGATCAGTGGTGGTCTTCCGTTTGGAGTCAAAGGACACACCAGTTGTTCCTGCAAAAGGGTGATGCTGATTCTTAGTGGGATGTGCCAGAGAAAGATGTTTTTGACTGGGGGGTGGGGTGAGCCCTTAACCCTAGCCTGAGCAGAGCTGAGAAGGTACTTAGAAATTTCTAGACAGGAGCACCTCCCCCTCCCCCCCACACACCTCCTGTCTACCATCTTTTCCCTCTTGAAATGAACTCTGTGGAGAATGTAAATCTATTCTTCCATCCACTGGAGACTTCTTTTAAATCTCTCTCTCTCTTCCTCAATCAGGAATAAGAGATTGTTCATCTTAACTACAGCACACAGAAATTATGATTCAACAGCAGTGTATATTTAATTAGAGTAATCTCACTTGAATTTAATTACCTAATGAATTATTTCTTTAAAAGGTAGAACGTCTTGTTTGCCAAGTACTCCGCAGACCTCTGTTAACTGGTTGTGAGGACAGTGGTCTGATCTTTGGCTCTTACAATCAGTGTTTGTTTCCTTATGTATTTCACCTTTTCAGTAGCATTTTCCCCAGCCAGCAAGCTTTGAGGACTCATCACATGGCCAGGTCTACATGAAGGTCTGTATGCCTCAGGAAAGTGGCTTAGCACTCCCATCCCAGCGTCAGACTCACTGTCAGGCTCTAGGTTCCCCTCCAGACCAGCCTCCCCTGATGGCGGGAAATCTTTTTGTTACATGGGTGTGGTGGTTTCAATGAAAATGTCCTCCGTAAGTTCCAAGTATTTGGTTGGTGGAATAGTTTTGGCAGGTTTTAGAAGGTGTGACCTTACTTTAGAACCCAAGTCTGCACCGGGGCAAGCTTTGAGAGTTCTTAAGCCTTGCTGGATTTTCAGTCCCTCTGTTTCCTCTGCCTGCTTGAAGAGCTGAGTGAGCGCTTTGCTTTTGGCTCCGCCCATGCCTCTCTGCCATGATGGCCTCTTCTCCCTCTAGAACCCTAAGCAAAATACACTCTTCATTCTGTAAGTTGCCTTGGTCATGGTGTTTTATCACAGTAACAGAAAAGTAACCAATACAATGGGCATCAAACTGTGGGAAAGAAAGTTACCCTGGTGCAGGCTTCGGTCTGAGCCTTTGAACTCATTTCCCTTCCTCCAAAGAACAGATGAGGAAGAGTTGCTGTCTTTCCAGGGGCCTCTGAGATTAACCTGTCTAATTAAATTCAATACAGTATATCTACTGCAAAGTCCCTAATGAAGGGGCTAATGAACCTTCTGGAAGCTCTGTGGTCAGTCAAGCTGCTGTGGAAGCAGACCCACCCCATTGTCATCAGCTCTGTCCCTCTGGTGGGATGGAACCTCCTCATCTCCTGGTCTGTCTTATGGCAGAAAGGAACTCAGCAGGAGCATGGACTTACAGGGTAGGGAGTTGTGGTCTGTGGCACAGGCGTTCTACCTTCTTGTTGAAGAGGAAAGGGGAAATGATACCATCTCAAATGAGCTGGTTGAATTCCACTCTCATATTCTTGGTTGTTTCTTTCACCAAACA